GCAGATAAGTTCCCATCTTACATCTCAAAGTACTCCCATGATACGAAACTGTCAATTCAAAGCGTAAGAAAACCACTTTACTTGGGAGATTAAAAAAGAACGTATATCAACATCAACGCAAATTGTTTCAAAAAGTCCCTGAATCAAAGGCGAACACGATGAATGCGATGGCGGAAAACGCGTCGTCTGTAACCATTGCCGTTGCCAATGCCGGTCTATAAGATACGTGATTTATAAGAAACAGCTCTCACAGAGGCGATAAGCTCACTCCTCCTGGGGTACCAACGTCAAATTCTCCGTTGTTACTGTCGCCATTGGCAGTGCCCTGTACAGAAATTGGAGCGCTGCCTCCTAAGTCTTCGGAACCAGAAGACGCTATTGAAGTTTCTGGAAAAGGAGATGGAGGAGGTGCTGGAGGAGAACCTCCGGCCGAGAATCCATCCGAATTATATGCTTGCTGATTTCCATTTTCAGCACTAAGAGGGACTGCAGGCGCAGGCTGGACCAGCTCAGCATTTTCATAGCCAGAGCTTTGCAATTGACCGTGGGCGAATACTGCTACGATAGCGACAAAGATTATTATGGTATGCATCTGTAATCAAGCTTTGTAGAGAAAGGGGAGGAGCCAATAATAATGTACAAGCGTTTTTGCTTGCGTTTGAAATGTCAAATAGAAAGATTGATATGTTGACGAACAACTAAAATTGTGCATGTAAGGTGATTCTTGCGCATGTATTTATACCGATTAACTCTTTCGACTTCACTATGCAACCTATTTAATGCAGTTTTATGGCCTCTAAAACTCGCAACACCCAGGGCAAGACAATGGAGCTACATGTGGAGTTTTCACATGAATTTTTCTGTCTTATCGCTAACGAAGCAAATGTAATTGTGAATTCAGTGATATCGTTTTGGATTACTTTGTTATGGGGTTCACTTTACAGATAACACTAGTGTAACAGATACCACAGAAAAATTCAGAGATTCAATACTGTACCACTAAAAGAAAGGTTCCTAGGTAGATCAACACTCGTAATACACATAATACACACACATAAACACGCACCTGCAGGTTCGCAGAACTCTTGGACTGAGGAACTCGATGAAGAAATAGATAAGTTTCGAAGAAGAATTTT